AACCAATCACGGTCGAGAATTTCGTTATAGATACGATTATTGTTGTTATTGTTATTGTTGCAGACTCGGATGACACGTACGCTCCTGGTAGACGCGATACAATATCTCAGGTCAGGAATCTATTAACTACACGTACATGTAGCACTTAAATGTTTGGCTTAAACGTTCTGCTGTTCATCTTTCTATTTAAGGCGGCGAATTACGAGATGCAAAAACCATCAACCTGTCGCGAAACATTGTTTCGTCGCAAGTTTTGGGTTGATGAAAAACGAGCAACAAAGCCAAAATTTGCTGCTCAAAGTAGACCCGCGCTCTACTTTTCCCAATAACTTTCTTCAGTCCGCCACAAATGTTTTTGTTGCGCTACATGTTGATCAGGCAAGGTGAAAAACGCGAAACATCGTCCCAAAACTTGCAGCGAAACGATGTTGCGCGACAAGTTGAGGGTCTTTGTATCTCGTATTTCGCCTCCTTTAACTATTCATCGATAATTGATATTTACGAGCACATTTTAAATAACTCAATACGTGGTAAGATCTTGAATTCCTTATAATGGTTAATTTTCTCCATTACCCTGCAACGCTTTAGGAAGACGATGTTATCAGGTACAGAAGACAGTCAACCAGGCTTCTAACAGAGGTAAACTGCCCTTTCTGTACTGAGCCGTGATATTTCTGTCAACCTCTGCCATGACCGCTAGTCAACTCCCATCAGAAAGGTTTACTCCCAGCAGATTTCGTGTCAGTAAACAGTAAGACTAACGAGCTGGAGACAACAAGTCGAATATTTACACACTCAACTATAGCAGAGAGTGACAGACGGAGTTAAAGTTGCCCGACCGGTATCTTGGATTTTTGTTTTTTTGTCAAACGCCCTTTATACATGAACATCTCACCTCTTTTTTTTTCCTTAGACCCGAAACAGAAAATTTACCATCATACGTTAGCTTCACCTCACTGGCATGCGTCTCACGTATGCTGTATTTGCCAGAAGAATTGCTTCAAGCTGGTGAACATTTTTTTTTTCTTTTTGAAATAACTGTAGCTAAAATAAACCTTAAACCTGCTTGCAAAATTCTTTTTATCCTACCCTCCTCTAATCTGTACATTTGCATCTTTACAGTCGAGGGAAGAACCGACTAATACAGAACCACAAGTTATAGAAACAAAACAGGTGAGCACGTCGTTATTGCCTGGCAAGACATGTTTCCCTTGCCTCACGATTCTTCTGTCATTAACTTTAGAGATTTGCGAGATTGTGATTGAACAATAACAATCGGAAAATTGAGTAACTTCAACAAAGAATTTCCAGTAACGACATTGGTTCCTCCGACTGAAATGATGTGATCATTCTTGGAAATTAAGGAGAATTGAAAAGGGCCCCCTAGTTACAAATTCTTCCCACAGAGTTTTAAAAGAAGTAGCGAGGGTTTTTCTTTTGCGACACTCATTGATAAGCGAAGTGCTTATGATAGGTCTTGCTGATCTGATGTAATTAAGAAATAGAAAAAATGTACCGTGTTTCTATCGAGTTATAGAAACACAAGTGGAAGTTTGGGAGAACGAGAAATGCTGTGGGAACACGAGCCACAGGCGAGTGTTTCCACAGCTTTTTCGAGTTCTCCCAAACTTTCACGAGTGTTTCTACAACTCGATAGAAACACGGAGAACATGTTTTCTATTTCTTTTAGAAAACACCGCGACGAAAAAAAGAAKAACAACTTGTTAACTTTGATTATCAAAATGTAAATCCTCTTTGCTCGCGCCATRATTACGTTAACAGCTCGTGCTAGTTCTGTGTTTCCATCGAGTTATAGAAACACGATTTTTAACCAATCAGCGCGCGTTTTTTCTTAAGACTGTTTTCTAAATGTTGATGGATGGTCCTGAGATATCAATATAAAAATATGTTATAGGTGAGTAACATAATGATCCTCTCCTATTTTCTTTGCTAGGACGATCCTCCTTCGTTTCAAGAAACCCTACAGGAATGGAAGAGAAGGGTATGATTCTTTTTTTTTAAAGTACAATTTTATGAATAGCTGTATTTTATAGGTAAATACTGATCGCCAGTTAATACCAGTGATTCAGTGATCACTGATTGGCCTTTCAGGTTAAATAAGTATTTTATTTTTATTTTATTCCTAGGATGCGCGAAATAATTTAGAAAATTGAGGAAAAAATATTTTGACGGGATTGAAGACTCCTTTAAGATTTTTTGATAAAACAGGCTTTAGATATAGAAATAAAACGTAGATGTAAGAATGTGAAGAAATGCAGCTTGAGCTAATAATAAGTGAGTCATAGGTAAAATCGAGTTGTGGTTACCCGGAAAGGAAATGATGCATTAGTATCTTTTAGATTCTCTTTTTCAACTCGTGATTACGTGAGCAAGAGTTGTAGTTGGTGATCATATTATGCAAATGAACGGTCGGTCCCTCATCCTTTAAGTTACGGTGTTGATGTTCAATTTCTTTCTCACAGAAGCTCTATCACCTCCAATTTAATCAATGTCCCCATGCAATGAATGTAAGAAAGTTTAGAGTGCACCCACAAATGTTTCTCATATATATAATGGGGGGAAGTTTATTACCAAGTCATCGATTTTGGTAAGTTACTCGAAAGAAAAAGTCAAAGGGATTCTAATTTAACATGCAATTATGAGCCCATGGAAAATAAGTATTGACGATACTTCCGTCGAGCAAGTATCCAGTATCCAGACAAGAGAAGAGTTCGATTATTGAAGTTAAAATACAGCGTTTATATAAGCCGTATAAGCTACATGTTAGGGTAACACAAATTATCTCTTTTTGTTTTTGTTTTGTTTTTGTTCTTTAGGAAAGTGCCCGAGCGCCGAAGGTAATTTTGTAGTTACTCGTTCATTAATTGTTAAGGGGCACCTATTCATAACTAGGATAGGAAGCAAAGGAAAGAGGAAAACATTGCATTGTACAGACACTCAAAAAGTGCCAAATATAGAGAAAGGGAGGTTGATCCCAGTCGACTGCTTAGAACCGGAGAGTCAGAGGAACGAACCTAAAATTAGAAGTAGGTTAAAACGAGGGATCGATATCGGTCGTAGGTTCCAAGTTTTCCAAAACGGTTGGTCGATGAGCTGCGGGAGGAACAGTATAAGCGCGAGGAACTGCACTGCGCGTGGAAAAAAAGACGAAAGTTTTAATGCGAGAACACGAAAGAATACTATCTTGATATCTCGCTCCGCTGCACCATTCCATTTCTTTACTTGCCGCCTTCCGCGCTGCCAAACAACCAAAGCTATACGGCACAGAGAAGAAATTAAGCAAGATTTGAAATGATATACTTAAAGACAACCAATTGAAAATACTACACGCTGGTCTATCTACTAAGAGTTGATATAAATAACTTTGCTTAAACCACATTAGGGATTAAAAACTAAGTGGGTTTATATTAGGAAACTTACAGCTATTGAGGCTGTTCATTTCATCAACCGCATGATTTGTCTCAAAGCTTTAATTTTGCCGTTACAATATCTTCCTTTTGCAAACTTTTAATTTGTTTTTTCTTAGGATAAAGCACCTTCCTTTAGATCGCGACAATCAAAGGTAAGTTGAGGTGTTTTTTCTGTCAGTGACTGTTATCAATAGTGAAGTTACGATATTTTAAAAGTATAGAGAAGGCGATGATAAGGCACCACCGCCGATCAATGCCACTAATCAATACCACATAAAAAATATGTAGCTGGAACTGCTTGTAGTTAACAAATTCTAGTGTATATATATATTTTTATTTTTTATCCTTATAATTTTTAATTTTTCAGCTTTGGTTTTTAATTTCGCAGAGTAAATTGAAGTAATGTAGATAGAGGACCCCCTATCATTATCATTATCATTATCGTTATCGTTATCGTTATCATTATTACATTTAATATAATGGCTGAAAATGGCCACCTTTAGGGATCCCTAGCATCTGTTTCTTTCATAAAATTCAGCCCTATAATACTACCATTCCTTAGCGTTGTTACAAGAATATTTACAGATCAGCGGAGATAGACATTCCGATAAGAGAACGTCATTGTCGTAGCCATTGTCGCGTCGTCTTCCATTGTTTTTCCTTTATTTCATAAGCTTACCACTTTTTAGTTAAACTTGGTTTAGTACTATCTCAGTTCAACTTCGGGAAGGTTGATAATAAAGCCACTGTTTTGGCTCACTTGATATCAACGTCACGGCACTCGGCATGCCACATTATCTTTTCGATTCTACTCCTCTTACCAATGTCGTTCTTGTGTATTGTTTTAACCAAATGTGTTGAAATGTACTTTATAGGCGAAGGATGTCACTTGCCCAAAGGATAACCACGTGTTGGAAGAGGAGGTAATTTTGGTTTTGTAACTGGCATGCAACATTTTATCTTCATTTTATCTCCACATTTTATCTCCACCTCCACCTGGCTTAGCTTCAAGTCCCCCCCCGCCCTTACACACATACCCTTATACACAGAAGCAAGGGTATGTATGATGTCAAAGGATCTGTCTTTTGGGCCATTTTGATCTAAAATAGGATATAGATTTTGACTAGTGTGGTTTGAAATCGTGCATTCTTATGTAGAATTGCGTCTATTGTCCAGGATTTAAAGCGCTTTTAAGGTTAGCAGGACCACGTATGAAAGACGGGGACTAATTTTAGAGTTACGTCAGATTTGCATAAAATGTGCGTGAAGGCTTTAACCCTTTGACGCCAAAGTAGCCATATACGGCTACTTAATGGTCGCGCTCTTTGTACCACTTGTGACGTCATCAATTTAAATGTCACCAGATATTATTGATAAGCAGATAGTAGGGCTAGGATAGATCTATCTGCACAAATTTTGGCTTATGCGCATGCACGAAATTAAAATATTCTACATTTTTGTACCTAATCTTGGGGAAATCTATTTGTTTGTTTTAAAAATAGCCTTTTCAGTAAAACTAAGGCCCATTTAGCGTCATGGCAGCTAGGAAACTGATTTAAGGGTTAAAAGCGGCATTTTTTGTTTACCTTTGGCCGTCTAAGGGTTAAGGACCGCGCTGCACATTCCTATCAAAACGTCCGAGGAGTTAAACGCCGAAGTTAAGTGCAAAATAAATGTTACTTAAGCCTTATTTATTAATAAAGAAAGGTTGTTTGTTTGCGTTTTCTTTCAGATACATCAAATCAAGGACACGATGGATGCGGCAATGCAGAGAATGAATGAAATCCTAGAGGTTGTCCATCATGAACCTCCAAATACTGCCGCAGCAATTCCTGTCGACAATACGGAAGTAGAAAAAGTGACGATTGCCAGTGGCTCACTTGCAGCTGCTGAATTTCTTTCGGAAATTGATACTTCCCTTGCAGATGTTCAGGATGAAAATATGGATCAAACAGATCAAGGAGTCAAAAGACAGATAGAAGGAACTTCCGCTGAATTGTCTTCGGATCCATTCCTCGTGGAGTGGCCTTGGATTTCGGTAGTTTTCACCAGTAGCTGGGGACAATGGTTATTTGGCAGCGACGAGCAATAAAACGAAGAAGAGATTGTCTTGATTGCGAGAACCATGCAAGGTATTGCAGTCCCGAATTGTGGCCTGAAGAATGCATAGTGTTAGTCGTTCAAGTTGGTAGCTGTAGAATTGCCAATGTGGTTTTCACTCCAAGTACCAAACGTACGTACGTCAAAATATGTGTGCACAAAACTACACCCATACGGGACTCACAATGAGGTAACGACATTAGCTAGCATAAGAAGTCGCCTTGGTACAGCTGTATGCCACATCTTTTGGTGGCAGGCAAGAGAATATCATTCTCTTTTGCAGCAGACAATTGCTTAGTTCAAGAGGACGTTGATGCAAGTAAAAGTGAGTTAGCGAGTCTGTTTTCCATGCCCAGGGTACTTTTAACGTGGGTGAAATCACATATAAGGAAGATGTCAGATTTAGAGAGTAGGAATTTGTTCATTGACATCATCCAAGAGCTTCAAAGGGGTAAACATCTGGGCACTCAGTCTAAAATGAAAACGTTTGTAACGGAAATAGTAGATGATATTAACAAAATCACATTCACATGAGCTTAAAGTTTTCAAGTTGTTAATGATCAGCTTTCACTGAGCATTCTTGTGAAGATAAAAAAAGAAAGCGACCCACGTTTAGTGAGTACCAGTCTGTTTAATAGGACGAGCTATTTCTGTCATCCTTTTATTCAGCGTAGAAGGAATCAACCGGCTTTCTGTTAATGACTAAACAGGTTTAGATGATTCGGGTGATTCATAGCAAGTCACATTAGTTTAATTAATTAATTTATTTATTAAATTTACTAACTTTCAATGACGATAAGTTAACCTCGAGTTGAATTAAGAAGAGACGGACAGCTTATCACGAAGGCGTGGTCAACCGTGAGGTGTGATACGATTAATTGTTACCTTAGGTGTGCGATATTTTTTTTATAAAATGTAGCTTTCATGATATTCATGACGTATTGAAAACTGTTCATGGACCATCGCGTTTGAAAATTCTCTTTGCTATAAAAAAGTTCTTAAGATATTGCATTCAGTTCCTAAGAGATCCCCATCGTTTCAATAACACAAAGTCTCAGCGCATGAGCCATTAATTTCGTCCGTGAATCACGGACTTTGAAATGACCCACTCCCATTGGAACCGGTCAGCGATAACCAAAAAGATCGCGGGCTCTGGAGGGTTTACAAGGGAATAAAGAGGCATATTTTCAATGCATTGTTTGGTGTTTTTGAGAAATGAATGAATGCGATAACAAATCAAGACTGAGTACATGATTGTGCTAATCTTTATAAATCGTACGATGGCATTGATCTGCCCCCTGTAGACACTTAAAGGTCAAATGAACCAAAATTTAGACTTTTTTTTCATTTAAGTTCAACGTGTTCATTAAGTATAAAGTAAACATATTCTGAAGTTTCAAAAGAATTGGACGAAGCATTACGGAGATATTGGAATGTTAAAATCACTGCTTTTTTATCCTTCATGATCGAAGAGCGGTCGGGAGAGTTGTCGGATAATTGTCGGAAATAAAACTTGTGACGTCACTGTTGGTGAGCTCAAGAAATGCGGGAAATTCAAAAGTGTACGGTTTCAAGTTCACTCTGAACTTTGGAGAAAAACCACGCAAAATCAAAAGTCAGCACCTTCAAGTTCCTCCAGGACCCAAATCTTAAAAGGGAATGGCTTATAAAAATGAAAAGAGATATTTTATGCCCTCAAAGCATTCGCGTGTTTGTGTAAAACACTTTATCGAAGACAGCTTCGATCAAAATCTTGTAGTAAGGAGTTTGTTGGGACGTCCCTCCTTCAAGCTTCGTTATCTTGTTGTCAAGAAAGACGCGGTACCGACGATTTTTAACTTCGCTATGGTACGTTGCAAGCCGGCAATTGGATAAAAAACAACGAAAAACAAGCGAAGAATGCCCGCCAAACAGCGGGCGAACTCCTCGGCCATTTCCCAAGTAAAATCAGGTTTGTGTTTAGATCCAAAACCTTCCCCACGAACGACTCACTGGTGCAGAAACGCAGCAATGTTCAAGACAACAATGACGTCACAAAGCAGAGTCTTAGTTCCATTCCTTCCATTAAAGTGCGCGGTCATTTTGGAAACGTTTTCGTGAAACCTTAGGCTGTCTTCGTACTTTTAACTTTTTTACTCTCTTCCACAGTTCAGAAAGAAAAATTTCCGCATAAGTTTCCTTTTACATGCTTTTGTTTAACATTTCGTCGCTATAAAATGGCCGAAGAAAAGATGTCTAAATTTTGGTTCATTTGATCTTTAATCAAACAAGTTGATCGAAGGTCCGGACTAGAGTGTTCTCTCCACACCCCTCCCTCCCGGATTGTCTCATTGTAATTCGCATGACGTTCCTCTGACGTCTCCTAATCAGTATGTTCATACTGCCTTGAACCGACATTTTAAGCCCTAGATGTGCCAGGGGCCGATCAGGTCGGTCGGCGCGTACACTAGCGGCCCGAACACAAACTAGGAGTAATCAGGGATAAGTGGGTGCGTTTGAATGTTTACTTTTGAAATTTGGTTGTTCAACCGCAAGACAGCACACGCCATATTCGCTTTGTTGTTGCTTGAATATCGGGCTTCGCGAAATAAAAAAATAATAATATAAAAAAAATTCTGGTTTAGGTGCGCGCGCACGTTGACGTATTCCTTATCCGGTAGTACATCCCCAAAATCAAGTCTATTCCTGCTTGTGTGCTCGTGCAAAGAGAGATTCTGCGTTAAGTTTAAGTTGTGTTAAAAATTTTTCACTGTTTTGGCTGGCAGCTGGTAGTTAAATGAAAGAGTGTATAAAATATGTCCATCTCAACATTAAAATCTGGATAGTGGTGTCCTATTGTATTACCCTTGAAATTTGAAAAAAAAAATTGTTGTCTAAATCTTATTAAACATTTTGATGTAAATATTATAAAATGCTACGCAATTATATCTGGAATGTGGGTCATTTGGATCTGTAAGGGCGTTGAACCTTTCAATTCTTGTTTGTCGTACAAAGCCAGGGTAAAAACCCTCCTAAAAGAGTTTTATTTCTTTCGGTTTCGGTTTCGTCATCATATTTGGTGATGATGCTTCACACTCTTGTCACGCAGTATTTTATTAGAAGATACATCTTTGGCAAACACCTTTTTTTTATCGTACAGATCAATTTGTTTAACAGTAGTGAAGGAAAAATGTCCGGCTAATTGTACAGTTGCTAAAGATCAGGTCTAAAATATTGATATAACACCAATCATCCTTGACCGACCTGGCAACGAGGGAAAATTCCCGGATAAACAAACAGCCTGTCTCGAAGTCATTTGCATACACGTGATACGCGGTGTGACAGTGGAGAGTGTTTCGGAGATATTAGTTGGTTTCTGGTGAAGATTTAGCTTTATTCTACTGGTTGCAAGACGTTGAAAATTGTCCGGGTGTCGCAGGATTAATTGGAAATCTATCAACCCTTTATTTCTTCGACAAAAATGCTGCAGTAAATCGCTTGAAGCAAACAACAGCACTGCAGTACATGAGGCTCGAGGTACATGCACAAATCTATTATTCAATTACGTTTCTTTCACTTTTCAGT